AGTTCAGTTCTAGTTCAGTTCTAGTTCAGTTCTAGTTCAGTTCTAGTTCAGTTCTAGTTCAGTTCTACTTCTAGTTCAGTTCTACTTCTAGTTCAGTTCTAGTTCAGTTCTAGTTCAGTTCTAGTTCAGTTCTAGTTCAGTTCTAGTTCAGTTCTAGTTCAGTTCTAGTTCTGTTCTAGTTCTGTTCTAGTTCAGTTCTAGTTCAGTTCTAGTTCAGTTTCTAGTTCAGTTCTAGTTCAGTTCTAGATCAGTTCTAGATCAGTTCTAGTTTCAGTTCTAGTTCAGTTCTAGTTCAGTTCTAGTTCAGTTCTAGTTCAGTTCTAGTTCAGTTCTAGTTCAGTTCTAGTTCAGTTCTAGTTCAGTTCTAGTTCAGTTCTAGTTCAGTTCTAGTTCAGTTCTAGTTCAGTTCTAGTTCAGTTCTAGTTCAGTTCTAGTTCAGTTCTAGTTCAGTTCTAGTTCAGTTCTAGTTCAGTTCTAGTTCAGTTCTAGTTCAGTTCTAGTTCAGTTCTAGTTCAGTTCTAGTTCAGTTCTGTTCAGTTCTAGTTCAGTTCTAGTTCAGTTCTAGCTCAGTTTAGTCAGTTCAGCTCAGTTCTAGTTCAGTTCCAGTTCAGTTCTAGTTCAGTTCTAGTTCAGTTCTAGCTCAGTTCTAGTTCAGTTCTAGTTCAGTTTATTTCAGTTCTAATTTAGTTCTAGTTCTAGTTTAGTTCTAGTTCAATTTTACTAAAGTCAGACTATATTTATTAATTAAATAAAAAATATTTAAATTAATGTTTATAAGTTAAAGTGTGCCCCCGTTAACCAATTAAAATATGAAACTTCTTTGAAATTATTATAAGTACTTAAAAATTGTTACAAAAAGGATTTTTCCAACCATTCATAATTTAATTTTTAAAATTATATTTCTGCTTCATTTGACCATCAAACTATTTTGTAGTGTAATAAACTAAATCCTCAAATTGCTTCCTAAGATCCTTGAAAATTAGTTTGTCACTTACCTTTTTTTTTTGTTCTTGCTTCATTTTCTGCACTGGTATCATGATGACAATAAATCTGCATCATTTGATAACAACTACAAAAACAACGACAACTAAAAAGACCAACTAAGTAAACAATATTCCGAAAATTTTTTGTAAAAAAAAGTACAGAAAAATATTAAAGTTAAGAGATTTTATTGCCAGTGCTCGTGCACAGCAGAATAGAAAAAATTAACACTCAAGTCTGTAACAATCTGTCAGCAAAACTGCGATAAAATATAAAAGTTTTGCCATTATCTCATTTACCCACTGCCCGCACACGCCACCAGGCCAACAGCATTTGCAAAGGAATATGAATTTTGAACAGAACGCTGAGCTGAAAAAAAATAAAAACTGAAATAAACAATGGTAGTGGAAGAATTATTGCACGAACACTGTGTTGAGTTAGCTGCTCAACTATTTACTAGGAATGGACAAAGTTGTATAAAAAATAAAGTTTTTTTATGTCGTAAAGGTAGTTAGTGCTCTATGCGACCACAGTGATGGTCGTAAAACCAATGGCAAAGCATGATGCCGAAATTAAAATGTTTTTAGTTCAAGTTCAGTTCTAGTTCAGTTCTAGTTCAGTTCTAGTTCAGTTCTAGTTCAGTTCTAGTTCAGTTCTAGTTCAGTTCTAGTTCAGTTCTAGTTCTAGTTCAGTTCTAGTTCAGTTCTAGTTCAGTTCTAGTTCAGTTCTAGTTCAGTTCTAGTTCAGTTCTAGTTCAGTTCTAGTTCAGTTCTAGTTCAGTTCTAGTTCAGTTCTAGTTCAGTTCTAGTTCAGTTCTAGTTCAGTTCTAGTTCAGTTCTAGTTCAGTTCTAGTTCAGTTCTAGTTCAGTTCTAGTTCAGTTCTAGTTCAGTTCTAGTTCAGTTTCTAGTTCAGTTCTAGTTCAGTTCTAGTTTAGTTCTAGTTCAGTTCTAGTTCAGTTCTAGTTCAGTTCTAGTTCAGTTCTAGTTCAGTTCTAGTTCAGTTCTAGTTCAGTTCTACTTCAGTTCTAGTTCAGTTCTAGTTCAGTTCTAGTTCAGTTCTAGTTCAGTTCTAGTTCAGTTCTAGTTCAGTTCTAGTTCAGTTCTAGTTCAGTTCTAGTTCAGTTCTAGTTCAGTTCTAGTTCAGTTCTAGTTCAGTTCTAGTTCAGTTCTAGTTCAGTAGTTCAGTCTAGTTCAGTTCTAGTTCAGTTCTAGTTCAGTTCTAGTTCAGTTCTAGTTCAGTTCTAGTTCAGTTCTAGTTCAGTTCTAGTTCAGTTCTAGTTCAGTTCTAGTTCAGTTCTGGTTCAGTTCTGGTTTAGTTCTAGTTCAGTTCTAGTTCAGTTCTAGTTCAGTTCTAGTTCAGTTCTAGTTCAGTTCTAGTTCAGTTCTAGTTCAGTTCTAGTTCAGTTCTAGTTCAGTTCTAGTTCAGTTCTAGTTCAGTTCTAGTTCAGTTCTAGTTCAGTTCTAGTTCAGTTCTAGTTTAGTTCTAGTTCAGTTCTAGTTCAGTTCTAGTTCAGTTCTAGTTCAGTTCTAGTTCAGTTCTAGTTCAGTTCTAGTTCAGTTCTACTTCAGTTCTAGTTCAGTTCTAGTTCAGTTCTAGTTCAGTTCTAGTTCAGTTCTAGTTCAGTTCTAGTTCAGTTCTAGTTCAGTTCTAGTTCAGTTCTAGTTCAGTTCTAGTTCAGTTCTAGTTCAGTTCTAGTTCAGTTCTAGTTCAGTTCTAGTTCAGTTCTAGTTCAGTTCTAGTTCAGTTCTAGTTCAGTTCTAGTTCAGTTCTAGTTCAGTTTAGTTCTAGTTTCAGTTTAGTTCTAGTTCAGTTCTAGTTCAGTTCTAGTTCAGTTCTAGTTCAGTTCTAGTTCAGTTCTAGTTCAGTTCTAGTTCAGTTCTAGTTCAGTTCTAGTTCAGTTCTAGTTCAGTTTAGTTCAGTTCTAGTTCAGTTCTAGTTCAGTTCTAGTTTAGTTCTATTTCAGTTCTAGTTCAGTTCTAGTTCAGTTCTAGTTCAGTTCTAGTTCAGTTCTAGTTCAGTTCAGTTCTAGTTCAGTTTCAGTTTCTAGTTCATTCTAGTTCAGTTCTAGTTCAGTTCTAGTTCAGTTCTAGTTCAGTTCTAGTTCAGTTCTAGTTCAGTTCTAGTTCAGTTTCTAGTTCAGTTCTAGTTCAGTTTCTAGTTCAGTTCTAGTTCAGTTCTAGTTCAGTTCTAGTTCAGTTCTAGTTCAGTTCTAGTTCAGTTCTAGTTCATTCTAGTTCAGTTCTAGTTCAGTTCTAGTTCAGTTCTAGTTCAGTTCTAGTTCAGTTCTAGTTCAGTTCTAGTTCAGTTCTAGTTCAGTTCTAGTTCAGTTCTAGTTCAGTTCTAGTTCAGTTCTAGTTCAGTTCTAGTTCAGTTCTAGTTCAGTTCTAGTTCAGTTCTAGTTCAGTTCTAGTTCAGTTCTAGTTCAGTTCTAGTTCAGTTCTAGTTCAGTTCTAGTTCAGTTTCTAGTTCAGTTCTAGTTCAGTTCTAGTTCAGTTCTAGTTCAGTTCTAGTTCAGTTCTAGTTCAGTTCTAGTTCAGTTCTAGTTCAGTTCTAGTTCAGTTCTATTTCAGTTCTAGTTCATTCTAGTTCAGTTCTAGTTCAGTTCTAGTTCAGTTCTAGTTCAGTTCTAGTTCAGTTCTAGTTCAGTTCTAGTTCAGTTCTAGTTCAGTTCTAGTTCAGTTCTAGTTCAGTTCTAGTTCAGTTCTAGTTCAGTTCTAGTTCATTCTAGTTCAGTTCTAGTTCAGTTCTAGTTCAGTTTAGTTCAGTTCTAGTTCAGTTCTAGTTCATTTCTAGTTCAGTTCTAGTTCTAGTTCAGTTCTAGTTCAGTTCTAGTTCAGTTCTAGTTCTAGTTCAGTTCTAGTTCAGTTCTAGTTCAGTTCTAGTTCAGTTCTAGTTCTAGTTCAGTTCAGTTCAGTTCTAGTTCAGTTCTAGTTCAGTTCTAGTTCTAGTCAGTTCTAGTTCAGTTCTAGTTCTAGTTCAGTTCTAGTTCAGTTCTAGTTCAGTTCTAGTTCAGTTCTAGTTCAGTTCTAGTTCAGTTCTAGTTCAGTTCTAGTTCAGTTCTAGTTCAGTTCTAGTTCAGTTTCAGTTCAGTTCTAGTTCAGTTCTAGTTCAGTCTAGTTCTAATTCAGTTCTAGTTCAGTTCTAGTTCAGTTCTAGTTCAGTTCTAGTTCAGTTCTAGTTCAGTTCTAGTTCAGTTCTAGTTCAGTTCTAGTTCAGTTCTAGTTCAGTTCTAGTTCAGTTCTAGTTCAGTTCTAGTTCAGTTCTAGTTCAGTTCTAGTTCAGTTCTAGTTCAGTTCTAGTTCAGTTCTAGTTCAGTTCTAGTTCAGTTCTAGTTCAGTTCTAGTTCAGTTCTAGTCAGTTTAGTTCAGTTCTAGTTCAGTTCTAGTTCAGTTCTAGTTCAGTTCTAGTTCAGTTCTAGTTCAGTTCTAGTTCAGTTCTAGTTCAGTTCTAGTTCAGTTCTAGTTCAGTTCTAGTTCAGTTCTAGTTCAGTTCTAGTTCAGTTCTAGTTCAGTTCTAGTTCAGTTCTGTTCAGTTCTGTCAGTTCTGTCAGTTAGTTCAGTTCTAGTTCAGTCTAGTTCAGTTCTGTTCAGTTCTAGTTCAGTTCTAGTTCTAATTCAGTTCTAGTTCTAATTCAGTTCTAGTTCAGTTCTAGTTCAGTTCTAGTTCAGTTCTAGTTAGTTCTAGTTCAGTTCTAGTTCAGTTCTAGTTCATTCTAGTTCAGTTCTAGTTCAGTTCTAGTTCTAGTTCAGTTCTAGTTCAGTTCTAGTTCAGTTCTAGTTCAGTTTTAGTTCAGTTCTAGTTCAGTTCTAGTTCAGTTCTAGTTCAGTTCTAGTTCAGTTCTAGTTCAGTTCTAGTTCAGTTCTAGTTCAGTTCATAGTTCAGTTCTAGTTCAGTTCTAGTTTCAGTTCTAGTTCAGTTCTAGTTCAGTCTAGTTCAGTTCTAGTTTAGTTCTAGTTCAGTTCTAGTTCTTTTCAAAGTATTTATTTTTAATTCCTTTTTTAATTTTCTCTTTTTATAGATCTTTACAACTAACCGAACGTTCTCCCAATCGTGGCCATAAAATGGTGGTTTGTGTGGGTCAAAATCATGCCAACCCCAACCAGCCGCCACTCTACCAACAATCAAATATGAGAAACAATCTAAGCAACATGCAGACAACAAATTTTCCGCCCACTATACGAACTACAGGCAAATCACAATCGATATTGATCAATAGCAATGGAGGTGTAGCAGGTGCTAGCAGTGCTGCAAGACATCGTCAAAGTGAGATAGATAAAAGCCGTTCCTTTGATTTTGACTATTGCAATTACAATGCTCCCGGCAATAATATCAAGAGTCAACATAGTAATAACTCCTTGATAGGTAGTCAAAATTTGTTGAATCGTGAGGCTGCTTTAAGACTGGAATTCGATAAGAGCCGTTCATTTGATGAGGACTATCGAGAAGCGGTGGTTACAAATAATAATTTAAATGCCAATGCTATGAGATATTTGCAGGCCAATGAGAATAGTGATAGAAATCATGTGGCGCGCATAAGACGCAACTCACCGGTGGAGGGAAATGGACGAAATACACGAAGTCCCCAGTCATCGGGTTCGTCTTGTAATAACTTAAGTGTGCCACGTTCCACCACCAGTCCACAAAATTATGGCACACGTTTGTGTGATCATGAAATGACTTATGATTTAATGCGCAAATCTTTAGATCGTTCACCTATAATGGATTTTCGACGAGGCGATAGTGTGAGTGGCGGGGATTATGATATACCCATGTCTATGTTAAGAAATCGTGAAACCATCAATTCGGGCGGTAATTCTGAATTGAATTTTATGAACAGTGATAATAGGCAATATGAACATATGAGTTCGAATTCTTTGAAACAACAAAGATCACTAAGAAGAACTCACAGTCCCAATGAGTCACATTATTCACTGGAACGAGCACACACTGCTGGCTCCAGAGATGATATAACACCAAACGAACCAAATGACTATCGCAATGAGTATAATGAGTTATACCGTCGCACCAGAAGTAACAATCGTGGAAGGTATTGAATTTGAATGATAAACAGAAATGTAAACCAAGCTTGTTGCATGTTTAAGTAATAATAATGATTGAACTAAAAACTGCTTTTTTTTTTGGTTATGGATGACATTAAAACACTGCTTGTCCAGAAAGTGAAACCTAGACAGAAGAGAGTGTGAGAAATATTTAACAATTTAACCAAACTAATATAGAATTAGTCACTCTCTTACTCGATCGCTCAAACTTGAACTTAAAAACCAAAATTTTTTAACCACTCCTTAAAATTTTTTACACCATGGAATGTTTAAATTAAAGAAAATAACTAAAATTATAAAAATATTAACTTTAAAATGTAGTGATTTCCACTTTCATAACACTAATACTTAATATAAAATATAATTAATTAAAATAAGTTTAATAATATTTAGCATTAAAACTAAAACTAAAGAGTTCAACTACTAAACTCTTGGACTAAAGACAAAAAAGAAAAATTGAAAAAAATTTCAAAATGATTTTGAAAAAAAGAGAAGACTGCTTGGCAAAAAAAAAATATTTAAAATAAAATTTCAACACACCTGAACTTTTAAGGATCAACTAAATAGTAGTATGTATAACTAACAAAACTAAATATTAATAAAAAAATAATAATTAACAATAATAAATTAAGTTTAAAATTAACAATAACAACAACAGTAGTGTTAAATATTAATAAAAAAAACCCAAGAAAATTAAGTGTAATGAAAGAAAAAACCCCAAAAAGAAATTATCATTAAAAAAACTCACCACTCACCAAAAAAAAGAAATTCACCATACCTTAACAACCTAAGAGAATAAGCTCAACACTTTTTGTTTAAAATTATTATTTAAAATTTTTATTTTGTTTTATTTTTATAATATTTTGTTTTTATAGTGATTTATTTAAATCAAAAACAACAAATTTTCCTCTAAATAACACAACATCAACAACAACAAACGCAAAACAGCAACAACAATTGCTAAAAGATTGCTCTAAACAAACCTGCTCCTATTGGCCACAATGTGGAGCCTGTCAAAATCTACAACAACAACAACCCAACTATGAATATTTGAAATCTTTACCACTCAAACGACAAACTGCTCAAAATTTCCAACATATTGAAGAGGAAATGAAAACAAAAGGACTGACTTCCTCCTCCACCACCGGCAGCAGCAGCAACAGCAACAGCAGCTGCACAAACGATGATATCAATAATGGAAAATCTTTAACGCAACTCAATGCCAATATATCCACAGTTAAAATAAATATTAATACAAATTCCACAACTCAACAAAACCAAACGGAAGATTGTCCAACAACAACACTGACACGCCTACCTAAATCTACCACTCAATGGACATTATTATGTAAAAATGCCTTGGCCTCCAATACAGCAACTAACACTTCAATTGTAGAACCGAATATCAATACTGCTGCAGCATTTACCAATACCGTTGTCAATGTCAAATCATCTCCGTTGATGACAACAAAATTAACGGAAACAGGCAAGACAGTGACGGCCACAACAACAACAACAACAAACGCAACACAAATACCATTATCAACATCCACAACATCATTGGCTTTGTCGTTAACGTCATCAACATCTAACAACAATAAAATGACAACATTTCATCAACAGCCTCGAGTTATACCCTTAGCTGCCACTTCTTTAGTATTTTTGGGTGATTTTGAAATGCCCATTACCCGTGATCGTACTGATTGTAATGACATTTATGAGACAACACCAACAAAACCAATAACAACAACATCATTATCAACGGCAGTGGCAACAACATCCTATAATATTGATAATAATTTCGCTATTTATGAGGCAAAAATACAAGACAATCTCAAGAGGTGAGTAATAAATTTAGTTTCGATAACATTTTAACATTTATTAAATGGTAATGAAATTGTGTAATGTATGTATATCAGTAGGGTTCCTAATTTTTTTCAGACGTTTTTCTCTACTTCAGTGAAAAGTAATTCATATTGCGAAATAATTTGTTTTTTTTTATTACATTAAACGTTTTTGAGAAAATACTTCTCTTTCTCGGAATTTTATGATTAGAACAGTGTTATCTCTAGTCTCTATAGTATTGTCTCTAGTCTAATCTGTAGTCTAGTCTATAGTCTAGTCTATAGTCTAGTCTATAGTTTAGTCTATAGTCTAGTCTATAGTCTAGTCTATAGTCTAGTCTATAGTCTAGTCTATAGTCTAGTCTATAGTCTAGTCTATAGTCTAGTCTATAGTCTAGTCTATAGTCTAGTCTATAGTCTAGTCTATAGTCTAGTCTATAGTCTAGTCTATAGTCTAGTCTATAGTCTAGTCTATAGTCTAGTCTATAGTCTAGTCTATAGTCTAGTCTATAGTCTAGTCTATAGTCTAGTCTATAGTCTAGTCTATAGTCTAGTCTATAGTCTAGTCTATAGTCTAGTCTATAGTCTAGTCTATAGTCTAGTCTATAGTCTAGTCTATAGTCTAGTCTATAGTCTAGTCTATAGTCTAGTCTATAGTCTAGTCTATAGTCTAGTCTATAGTCTAGTCTATAGTCTAGTCTATAGTCTAGTCTATAGTCTAGTCTATAGTCTAGTCTATAGTCTAGTCTATAGTCTAGTCTATAGTCTAGTCTATAGTCTAGTCTATAGTCTAGTCTATAGTCTAGTCTATAGTCTAGTCTATAGTCTAGTCTATAGTCTAGTCTATAGTCTAGTCTATAGTCTAGTCTATAGTCTAGTCTACAGTCTAGTCTATAGTCTAGTCTATAGTCTAGTCTATAGTCTAGTCTATAGTCTAGTCTATAGTCTAGTCTATAGTCTAGTCTATAGTCTAGTCTATAGTCTAGTCTATAGTCTAGTCTATAGTCTAGTCTATAGTCTAGTCTATAGTCTAGTCTATAGTCTAGTCTAGTCTATAGTCTAGTCTATAGTCTAGTCTATAGTCTAGTCTATAGTCTAGTCTATAGTCTAGTCTATAGTCTAGTCTATAGTCTAGTCTATAGTCTAGTCTATAGTCTAGTCTATAGTCTAGTCTATAGTCTAGTCTATAGTCTAGTCTATAGTCTAGTCTATAGTCTAGTCTATAGTCTAGTCTATAGTCTAGTCTATAGTCTAGTCTATAGTCTAGTCTATAGTCTAGTCTATAGTCTAGTCTATAGTCTAGTCTATAGTCTAGTCTATAGTCTAGTCTATAGTCTAGTCTATAGTCTAGTCTATCTAGTCTATAGTCTAGTCTATAGTCTAGTCTATAGTATAGTCTATAGTCTAGTCTATAGTCTAGTCTATAGTCTAGTCTATAGTCTAGTCTATAGTCTAGTCTATAGTATAGTCTATAGTCTAGTCTATAGTCTAGTCTATAGTCTAGTCTATAGTCTAGTCTATAGTCTAATCTATAGTCTAGTCTATAGTCTAGTCTATAGTCTAGTCTATAGTCTAGTCTATAGTCTAGTCTATAGTCTAGTCTATAGTCTAGTCTATAGTCTAGTCTATAGTCTAGTCTATAGTCTAGTCTATAGTCTAGTCTATAGTCTAGTCTATAGTCTAGTCTATAGTCTAGTCTATAGTCTAGTCTATAGTCTAGTCTATAGTCTAGTCTATAGTCTAGTCTATAGTCTAGTCTATAGTCTAGTCTATAGTCTAGTCTATAGTCTAGTCTATAGTCTAGTCTATAGTCTAGTCTATAGTCTAGTCTATAGTCTAGTCTATAGTCTAGTCTATAGTCTGGTCTAGTCTACAGTCTAGTCTATAGTATAGTCTAGTCTATAGTATAGTCTAGTCTATAGTATAGTCTAGTCTAGTCTATAGTATAGTCTAGTCTATAGTATAGTCTAGTCTATAGTATAGTCTAGTCTATAGTCTAGTCTATAGTATAGTCTAGTCTATAGTATAGTCTAGTCTATAGTATAGTCTAGTCTATAGTATAGTCTAGTCTATAGTCTAGTCTATAGTATAGTCTAGTCTATAGTCTAGTCTATAGTCTAGTCTATAGTCTAGTCTATAGTCTAGTCTATAGTCTAGTCTATAGTCTAGTCTATAGTCTAGTCTATAGTCTAGTCTATAGTCTAGTCTATAGTCTAGTCTATAGTCTAGTCTAGTCTAGTCTATAGTCTAGTCTATAGTCTAGTCTATAGTCTAGTCTATAGTCTAGTCTATAGTCTAGTCTATAGTCTAGTCTATAGTCTAGTCTATAGTCTAGTCTATAGTCTAGTCTATAGTCTAGTCTAGTCTATAGTCTAGTCTATAGTCTAGTCTATAGTCTAGTCTATAGTCTAGTCTATAGTCTAGTCTATAGTCTAGTCTATAGTCTAGTCTATAGTCTAGTCTATAGTCTAGTCTATAGTCTAGTCTATAGTCTAGTCTATAGTCTAGTCTATAGTCTAGTCTATAGTTAGTCTATAGTCTAGTCTATAGTCTGGTCTATACTCGAGTTTTTAGTCTAGTCTATATTCTAGTCTATACCCTAGTCTATAGTCTAGTATATATTCTTGTTTATAGTCTAGTCTATAGTCTAGTATATAGTCTAACAAAAATTACTACGAAAGTCGAAATTTAATCATAATTCTCTCATAATGGAGAGTTTGAGTCGGATATAGAGATAGAATCATCTAAATGTTAGATTTGCTTCTTTATTATAAATTGTTGCTAATAAATCTCTTATTAATATTGTGATAAAACTCGATTTCGTAATAATATTAAACATATCGTAAGACAAATTTTTATATTCTGAGAATTTCCTTAATTTAAATTTCAAACAGATTTCTCACTCTTTGGTAAATTTTGAATGATTTATGTCCTAATCATTCGAAAAGCACTTAGGATTATTAAAATATTAAACACATATTAAAATAATTGAATAAATTTATATACTTATACACATGCAGCTGTTTAAATACCCGTTTGGAAAATACTGAATAAATAAAAACTCTAATCGTTCCGAAACAAAATTTATTAATATAAATTGAATTTATAAAGAAATATTTTTGAATAAAAACCTCAAAGGGTTAGTTATACCTTGAATATCATTCAAAAAGGTCTAAGTTTCTTAGAAAATATTTAAAATTTATGTTGTTTTTAAAACTTAATGCAATCATTTTAATACTTTGGAACCTTAAATTTCAAATAGTTAACGTAAAAGATATGAAATCATTAATCATGGCAAAATGCCTTTTGTGTTTCCTTTTGGGTTGGAACATTTTGTTTTCCTTTGATTCCCTTTAACTTGCAAATTACGCAAATTTGTTCATGCGGAAATATGAATAAACAAACGAATGTGTATGTTTTAGTACAATATATATAAATAAATAAATTAAAATAACAAATATGTGTGTAACCAGAATTTGTATCCTGTTACTTTGTAAATATAACTTTTTTTGGCATTGAATTTTTTTATTAAAATTTCGCGGTGAAAGTGATAAAGAGAAAATTTATCAAAAATTCTCTATAAAAAATAAATTATCAAGGATTTTCAAATATTCTTATTTCAAAACGAAATTAAGTTCTTTAAAATAAAACACACTTTAATTTCTTAAATACACAAACAACACAAATATGCTCTAATTAGTATAAAAACCATTTAAATATTTATTGTTGATTTTTCCGCATTATTTCTCTACCTCTCCCTCCCCCTAGAATATGTGCCACTACAACCACAAATGAAAAACAAACAAGAAAATATCAAACAAATAAATTTAAAGAGAAAAATAACAACAACAAGCTGATGATGAGAAAAATTAAAGAAATTGAAGCAGATGATTGCAATGGCAGTACAAGCAGTAGCAGCAGCAGTTGCAACGAAAGTAGCATTACAAGTAGTTGTGGCAGTAGTAATGATAACAATTGTTCTAATACAACTACAACACCAACCACAACAGTTAATCAGTCTGTGGTCTCGACTAGAAAACGTAAGAATGTGAGAATGAAAGCGGCTAAACTACAGCGTTATAGCCGACGTCCTAGAATGTCCTTGCCAAATATTTGGTTAAATGTAGCAGTTGAGCAAGAGAAGCGGAATGAAGATGTCCCAAAAAGTAAACAACAAAGGTAAGTGGATTAATTGTATTCTTATTCTTTATGGAAATGATGAACAAATTTTTATAAATTTAGTAAACTAAGGGAAAAGGGAAATTGTAGGAGAATATTCTATAAAAAGGGACATTTTTTTCTATGAAAAATAGCGAAATTTTTGTACGAACAAAGGGACATTTTCGAAAATTTTCTATGAAAAAAAAATAATTTTTTTATGAAAAAAGAGTAATTTTCCTTTAAAAAAAGGAAATTTTTTATGAAAAAAAGCTAATTTTCTGAAAATTTTCTAAGAAAAAAATTTTTTTTTTTTAATTTTCTATAAAACGTGAAAATTTCGAAAAGAGAAAATACCGAAAATTCGAAAAGAGAAAATAAAAGAGAAAATTTTTAAAGATTTCTTTATGAAAAGAAAATTTGGAAAAAAAATCTTTAAAAAAAATAGTATTTTGAAAGATGTCTTTAAAAGAAGAGAATTTCGAAAGATTTCTATAAAAAGAGAGAATTTCGAAAGATTCTAGAAAAAGAGAGAATTTCGAATGATTCCCATAAAAAGAGAGAATTTAGTAAGTTTTGTATAAAAAGAAAGAATTTTGAAAGATTTCTATAAAAAGAAAGAATTTTGAAAGATTTCTGTATAAAGAGAGAATTTTGAAAGATTTCTATAAAAAGAGAGAATTTTTAAAGATTTCTATAAAAAGAGAGAATTTCGAAAGATTTCTATTAAAAGAAAGAATTTCGAAAGAATTCTATAAAAAGAGAGAATTTCGAAAGATTTCTATAAAAAGTGAGAATTTCGAAAGATTTCTATAAAAAGAGAAAATTTCGAAAGATTTCTATAAAAAGATAAAATTTCGAAAGATTTCTATAAAAAGAGAAAATTTCGAAAGATTTCTATAAAAAGAGAAAATTTCGAAAATTTTCTATTAAAAGAGAAAATTTCGAAAATTTTCTATACAAAAGAGAAAATTTCGAAAATTTTCTATACAAAAGAGAAAATTTCGATAGTTTTCTATACAAAAGAGAAAATTTCGAAAATTTTATATAAAAAGGAAAAAATTCCGAAAATTTTCTATACAAAAGAGAAAATTTCGAAAATTGTCTATACAGAAGAGAAAATTTCGAAAATTTTCAATGCAAAAGAGAAAATTTCGAAAATTTTCAATAAAAAAAGAAATTTTTCGAAATTTTTCTATAAAAAAAAGAGAAAATTTCGAAATTTTTCTATAAAAAAAAGAGAAAATTTCGAAATTTTTCTATAAAAAAAAGAGAAAATTTCGAAATTTTTCTATAAAAAAAGAGAAAATTTCGAAATTTTTCTATAAAAAAAAAAGAAAATTTCGAAATTTTTCTATAAAAAAAAGAGAAAATTTCGAAATTTTTCTATAAAAAAAAAGAGAAAATTTCGAAATTTTTCTATAAAAAAAAAGAGAAAATTTCGAAAATTTTCTATAAAAAAAAAGAGAAAATTTCGAAAATTTTCTATAAAAAAAAGAGAAAATTTCGAAAATTTTCTATAAAAAAAGAGAAAATTTCGAAAATTTTCTATAAAAAAAAGAGAAAATTTCGAAAATTTTCTATAAAAAAAAGAGAAAATTTCGAAAATTTTCTATAAAAAAAAAAGAGAAAATTTCGAAAATTTTCTATAAAAAAAAAAGAGAAAATTTCGAAAATTTTCTATAAAAAAAAGAGAAAATTTCGAAAATTTTCTATAAAAAAAAGAGAAAATTTCGAAAATTTTCTATAAAAAAAAAGAGAAAATTTCGAAAATTTTCTATAAAAAAAAAAGAGAAAATTTCGAAAATTTTCTATAAAAAAAAAGAGAAAATTTCGAAAATTTTCTATAAAAAAAAAGAGAAAATTTCGAAAAATTTTCTATAAAAGAAGAGAAAATTTTCTATAAAAAAGGAGAAAATTTCGAAAATTTTCTATAAAAAAGAGAAAAATTTGGAAAATTTTCTATAAAAAGAGATAATTTCGAAAATTTTCTATAAAAAGCGAATATTTTGAAAATTTTCTATAAAAGAAAGAGAAAGAGTATATTTCATATGATTTAAAAGAGAGAAAATTTGTATAGATTTCTATAAAAAGAGAGAAGATTTGTGGAAAAATGTCTATAAGAAGAGAAAATTTTAAAAATTAAAAATTGTATTCGAAAAGTATCGCCATGTTATCTTTTATCTAAAAATAGAACACACATTCTTCTCTGTAATCATTATTATTTTCCCCCAAAAAAAGGTATTTAACAATAATATTATTATTTAAAAACCGTTTGAGCTTATAATACTCATTTATGTCCTTTAACTAACAAAAAACCCTTTCAACAAATTTTTGAAATAAATAAAAAGAGAATCCTCTTACAAGTATTTAATTTCGATAGCAAAATGTTTTTTTTTATTGTTGTCCTGCAAACAAAATAATCTTTATGGAATTTTTTTTTTCCAAAAAAAGGTGTAAGCTAAGAAAAACTTTTTAAATGAATGTAAAATTTTATTTTGTAAAATAATATTAAATATTTATTAATAAAGAAAAGTACTGTCACAATATTATTAAAGCTTAAAAATAAAGTTTGTAAAAAGGATACAACCTACTAATATAAACCTCATATAGTAATAGTGTACAAAATGTTAAGCTATAAAAATATAAATATACAGAGAATAGGGCGTTTTTTATATTTTTAAAACATGCTCTTTTCTTGCTACCTGCATATTTAATAAAATTATAATATCTATTATTTAATAATAAAAAAATTGTGTATGAAAATAATTATAATTATTGTGTTCAGTGACATTTTTCCACATTTATCTATTATTACACGCGCTGCCATAAGCGGAAGTTTTAATTTTGTACACGAACATGTTTTGTTGTGTTTGGAAAAAATAATGTATTTCCTCCAAATGCGGTGTAAAAATTTCAATGTTCACTTTTTAAAAGACACGTGTGTTAAATATATATGTTAGTGATATTTTTACATACGTTCATTTACAAATAATTTAATTAATTATAACAAAAAGAACTTTTCAAAAACTTCTCTTTTAATTTTCTGATTTGTATTTATAAAAAATACTCGAAATTCTCCCAATTTATACAAAATTCTTGAAAATGTATGCTTTTATAAAAAATTTCTGAAATTTTCACGTTTAATAGAAAAAATTTGCAAAATATTTCTCTTTTGATAGAAAACTTTCAAAAATTTATATTTTTGCAAAAAATTTCCCAAAAATGTCTTTTTATTAAAAATTTCCAAAAAAAAAATGCTTTTTTATAGAAATCTTTCGAAAATGTTTTCTTTTTATGCAAAAAAATCCGAAAATTTATCGTTTTTTTATGGAACTAGACTGAACTAGAACTGAACTAGAACTGACTAGAACTGAACTAGAACTGAACTAGAACTGAACTAGAACTGAACTAGAACTGAACTAGAACTGAAACTAGAACTGAACTAGAACTGAACTAGAACTGAACTAGAACTGAACTAGACTGAACTAGAACTGAACTAGAACTGAACTAGAAACTGAACTAGAACTGAACTAGAACTGAACTAGAACTGAACTAGAACTGAACTAGAACTGAACTAGAACTGAACTAGAACTGAACTAGAACTGAACTAGAACTGAACTAGAACTGAACTAGAACTGAACTAGAACTGAACTAGAACTGAACTAGAACTGAACTAGAACTGAACTAGAACTGACTAGAACTGAACTAGAACTGAACTAGAACTGAACTAGAACTGAACTAGAACTAACTGAACTAGAACTGAACTAGAACTGAACTAGAACTGAACTAGAACTGAACTAGAACTGAACTAGAACTGAACTGAACTAGTAACTGAACTAGAACTGAACTAGAACTGAACTAGAAACTGAACTAGAACTGAACTAGAACTGAACTAGAACTTGAACTAGAACTGAACTAGAACTGAACTAGAACTGAACTAAACTGAAACTAGAACTGAACTAGAACTGAAACTAGAACTGAACTAGAACTGAACTAGAACTGAACTAGAACTACCTAGAACTGAACTAGAACTGAACTAGAACTGAACTAGAACTGAACTAGAACTGAACTAGAACTGAACTATCACTGAACTATACTGAACTAGAACTGAACTAGAACTGAACTAGAACTGAACTAGAACTGAACTAGAACTGAACTAGAACTGAACTAGAACTAACCTAACCTAGAACTAACCTAGAACTAACCTAGAACTGAACTAGAACTGAACTAGAACTGAACTAGAACTGAACTAGAACTGAACTAGAACTGAACTAGAACTGAACTAGAACTGAACTAGAACTGAACTAGAACTGAACTAGAACTGAACTAGAACTGAACTAGAACTGAACTAGAACTGAACTAGAACTGAACTAGAACTGAACTAGAACTGAACTAGAACTGAACAAGAACTGAACTAGAACTGAACTAGAACTGAACTAGAACTGAACTAGAACTGAACTAGAACTGAACTAGAACTAACCTAAAACTGAACTAGATCTGAAATAGAACTGAACTAGAACTGAACTAGAACTGAACTAGAACTGAACTAGAACTGAACTAGAACTGAACTAGAACTGAACTAGAACTGAACTAGAACTGAACTAGAACTGAACTAGAACTGAACTAGAACTGAACTAGAACTGAACTAGAACTGAACTAGAACTGAACTAGACTGAACTAGAACTGACTAGAACTGAACTAGAACTGAACTAGAACTGAACTAGAACTGAACTAGAACTGAACTAGAACTGAACTAGAACTGAACTAGAACTGAACTAGAACTGAACTAGAACTGAACTAGAACTGAACTAGAACTGAACTAGAACTGAACTAGAACTGAACTAGAACTGAACTAGAACTGAACTAGAACTGAACTAGAACTGAACTAGAACTGAACTAGAACTGAACTAGAACTGAACTAGAACTGAACGAACTACTAGAACTGAACTAGAACTGAACTAGAACTGAACTAGAACTGAACTAGAACTGAACTGAACTAGAACTGAATTAGAACTGAACTAGAACTGAACTAGAACTGAACTAGAACTGAACTAGAACTGAACTAGAACTGAACTAGAACTGAACTAGAACTGAACTAGAACTGAACTAGAACTGAACTAGAAACTGAACTAGAACTGAACTAGAACTGAACTAGAACTGAACTAGAACTGAACTAGAACTGAACTAGAACTGAACTAGAACTGAACTAGAACTGAACTAGAACTGAACTAGAACTGAACTAGAACTGAACTAGAACTGAACTAGAACTGAACTAGAACTGAACTAGAACTGAA